GTTATGAGCCGGGTTTCTAACTGACACCCCAAATCAAATTACCCTGTTACTAATTAGAGTTTAATTAATGACTATGAAAAAACCTGTTTCGCTGTGAAGGTATGTGTAAGCAAATAGCGTAGTTTGATACTTGTGATAGTCTGCTAACTTAAGCCATACGTGAAACTCATACATCGTGTGAACTAACTTTAATTCCTTTTCACCTACAGTGTGTTTCATTCTTAATAAGTGCCCTACATTTAAAACTTTCAGAGCTCTACGTACTATTCGGGTATTCGGAAAGAAATTATGTATTTCAAAGTCATGTATTATGAGTGAATTAACCAATGAAGAAGCAAACTTGAATGGTAGAAACCTGGTTCTAGAAATAGTTTCTCTGTCCTGGAGTGTTTGGGAAAATAATTACCTATTTTGCCGTTAGGAATTATGGATTTATCATTCAACTAATCCAAAAAGAAGTAACTTTAAATGATATTGTTTGTTTGCTTAGCGGCATACCAACTCCTTATGGGTCATCGTATGCCGAAATGTTATTTTCTTGTGAGATTTAGTAAATTCTTTTCCAAAAATAAAGGGTGTTCCAATAACTTCGACCGATTTTCGTGTGAATTAAGTTTAAGCGTCTCATGATTTCTTTACATTTTCTTTCAGATTTAACAACTTAAGTCTTTGACAATTTCAACCATTGAAAGACTAACAATCAAAAAACGTGTTAAAGTTAGAGAAACCTCTTAAGAAAATGGACGTTCAAACAGAAATGCATTTCGCGTTTTTTTTATTTTTAATTTTTCGTCATAATCGACCAATCAAGCGTGCAATTGGAAACGATGTAACGTCTTTGTGGAGAGGTTCAATTACTGCACGCGATGACGAATAGAGGTGTCTGGATTTTCGGCCACGTTCTCGTGCACTGCACCAATGTTTTCAGCTAAACGGGCACGCAATAGTGTTTTCACATCTGCCACCGAGCCAGTTTGAATTTACGAAAAGTTTTTTTTTTTCCAATTGCACTTTTGAAACTTTAACACGTTGTTTGATTGTTAATCTTTCCATGGTTGAAATTGCCAAAGATTTAAGTTGTTAAATCTGAAAGAAAAAGAAAAAATCATTAGATGCTTAAACTTAATTCACATTTAAAAATCAGACTTTATATTACTAGTAATTTTTTTCCAATAATCTTTTATTTTTTTTTTAATTGTATTTTTATATTTTCATGTTTTGACTCCATTTTTGAAGTTCACTATTTGTCTATACCTGGGACCCTAACAGATTCTACATTCCGAACCTCTTCAAAACCTCTTGATCAGAGGTCTTGTTGCCGGATGTATTTCAGGATGGAGTTGAATGGTACAAAACTGCGTATTGACTTAAATCTGTTCTCTTAGACTTTTCCAGAAAATAATTACATATATCACCGCTACGAATTATGGAATTAACGTTTAATTAATCAAAGTAGACTCAACTTTGAATGGTAAGAAACTGAGAGTGGAATTGGTTTCACTTTTGCTTTCCAAAAATATATTGGTTACGGTGCCATTTAGAGTTCAAAACTCACCAAAATTTTATGAGTCTTAAAAACATTTTCGCCGGTTTTCACAGTGAAACAGGTTTTTTCATACTAATTGTATAAGCCTACAGCAGAACGATCGTAAATGTCAGCTCGGGTTTAACTAGATTTAAATGTGGGACACTTAGTGAGGGTCAAACACACTCTATAGTTAAAAGGGAATTAAAGCTAGTTCAAACGATATATAAGTGTTACGTATGGCTTAAGTTGTCAGACTATCACAAATATCAAGCTACGTTATTTGCAAGGAATTTTAATGATTGTCTGCTTGTGTTAAGTAATAGCTTATTTGTTCCCGGCTGAGTGACCAGTGTCTGAGCTAAAATGCTATGATTTGGAATATAGAAAAACATTTCAAAATTTAAGAAAATCTTGCGCGTTTTCCTGGCACAACAAGATCCTTAAAAATTGAATATTATTTGTTAAATAATGAAATTAACGTCTACTGGCCAAGAGATCGAGATCCCCCCACTAAAGAAAAATATACCCCCAGGCAGGTAACCAACGTGGATTCTGTCTCTCCATGAGAGAAATTATTTTTAAAATAATGGTTTCTTATCTTTACGTCATGGCAAACCTTTACTGGTCTTGCTTTGTTAGGATGGCTACTCAGGACCTAATATTAAAGCTCACTTAGCTTAAACGTTGTTTTCCTGATGGAGGAAAGAACATTTTCTTGGGAAATCTCCTGATCTTTAGGTCTATGGACATAAAAGTATTCAAATACTTTTGCGTCGTCTGTCAAGAAAAGATGGTCGTAACAATCTTCCGAACATCGATTATTGGCGCCGGAAGCAAAAATGTTTCACTTTAATCCAGCATGCAAGCAAGGTACCATGAAAGGCCAGTGTTAATTCGAAATTCTAAAAGGTTACATCCAACCACTAATCTCATTAAGTTTGTTCTCAAAATTACAATAAAGGAATATTTTAATAATCCAGTGCTGATTCAGGTCAGACGCTTGGAAAATGATTTAATTTTATTAGAAAAATTGAGCTATATAATTTCATGGAAAATTCAGTGGGTTTTTGTTTTGTATTGCCCGGGTTAAGAAATTTCCCTACGGCACATTCCGTTGCTCCAGAAACGAGTTATATTCACTCTCTCTCCCTCTCTTTCCCTCTCTGTATGTATGTATAAACTTAATGCCAATACTTGTAACCATTCTCTTCCTCCTTGCATGTGTGACTTACACATTTTCTTACCGCCATATGGATAGTAAATTTATATATCAAAACAGTTTTGGATAATACAAAGATAAATCGTTTATATATATATATATATATATATATATATATATATATATATATATATATATACACAGAAACACACACACACACACACACATATATATATATATATATATATATATATATATTTATCTTTCTATTATTCAAAATTGTTTCGATATATATACACACACACACACACACACACACACACACACACACACACACACATATATATATATATATATATATATATATATATGTATATATAATTTGAAGAAATACAGTTCTAAGCTGTGCTATATTTATGGGATAAAGTGCTCAATATCAAAGACAGAGCGTATAAAAATATGAATATACAAGTGAATATTGAAGTCAATACTCAGAAGCGACAGGCTGTTTCATGCTAGACGTAATCGTCAAGCCTGACGATTGCGTCTAGAATGAAACAGCCTGTCTCCTCTGAGTTTTGATTTCAATGTTGATTTACTTTTTATATATATGTATATATATATATATATATATATATATATATATATATATGTGTGTGTGTGTGTGTGTGTGTGTGTGTGTGTGTATGTATGTATGTATGTATGTATATAAAGTTTTAGATTCCTCATTCTTGAATGCAAATAAAATGAACTACACGTTGGTATCACATGTTTGGTTGAAAATAGCCTAATTCCAATTAGATTTTATGAAATTCAGACGCTTTTTAATAATAATAATAATAATAATAATAATAATAATCTAATTCTTTAAAAAACACAATTTTCTTTTCTCACACAGGCCTAGCTGAATGATGACTCAGTGAGTCAAATTCTTGTTGCAACACGACATGGATTTTTGATGAAATTATGATTAAATCTAACATTAAATGTCTATTGTTCGGACAGTTAATGTTTAGAAGAAAGGTTACTGCCCTAACAGACAGAATATATAACGTATTCAGGCAGTATTCCTTCTTTGCTACATGTTTCAGTAAATGTGAAAAACTAGGTACTTCTGTTAAGTTTTCTTTTGTATTTTTCTTGCAGGCGAAGAGATTTCTTTTTCGGATTGCATGCGTCTAGAAATAGGCAAAATAATTGTTAATTCCAAAACCTTTCGACTATTTCATTAGCCGTCTTAAGGGATTTTGTTTGTCCTTTAGAGCAGCAAAAATATGCACCAATCTTGATACTGAAGATCCTTCTTGAGAACAAAAGGTTTAAACCCTAACCTCAGCTGCAAAAACCGTCTAGAAGACGTTATCGGAAAAAAAAACCTTAAAAAAACAAGCCATGAAAACGGCCAAAATATGCTGGCTGTGTTCAGGAATTAAACATATTTCTACCTTTCAAGACTTTTTACAATAGTACTTACACAACATTTACAATGGGTCCAGCAGAAATACTTGAAATAATTTGAAAATTCTCCAAGCCAACATTGGGATTTTTCTAAACTCTAAAAATGAAATCACTTGCCCATAGGCAGAACCAAGTCCAAAAAGAAAATCGCCTGTCTAAACTCAGAACCAATTCCGCAAAAAAAAAAAAAAAATGACTCTCCCTTTACAAGAAGAATAGTATAATAAACTTAACACAAGTATCTTGACAGCCATAATTACATTTAATGATATGAAGAAAATACAGAAAAAACAAACAAAATCTGAATATGCAATTATGTAGTATTAATGTTAATATAAAGTCGACGTCGGACGTTTCGGTCTATTTAAGACCATCTTCATGGACATTTTCATTTAAACATAATTAACATTAGGACTTATAAAAATTTAACACAAAAGACGATGGACATAAGAGCCCAACTAATCCAAACAGATAACTGAAATTTTATACAGATCAGCGTTCCGTTTAAATACTGTCGGATCTATATCCATATATTTGCTTACATTTAATGATATATACATAAAAGGTCAATGGTCAGAGTTGAATCAGACCAGGAAAGAGTAGTATTAAAAAGTGCTCAATACACGTGTGCAAAAAAATAAAATAAAAGTAAGAATAAATTCGAATTCTTCCTCATTTCGTTTTCTTCTCCTCTTTCGTTGTATTATTTATCTCTTTCTTTCTTTCTTTCTTTCTTTCTTTCATTCTTTTATCTTTCTTTCTTTCTTTCATTATTTATTTATTTATTTCTTATTATGCCTTGTCAATGTTTCTCATTCTATTTTCTTTATTTATTTCAAATTATTCCTCATTCAGTTTTCTTCTCATATTTTATCTTTCTTACTTTCTTTCTTTATTTCTTTCTTTCTTTCTTTCTTTCTTTCTTTCTTCTCCTTACTCACCCGGATTTCTGAACCTCTTTCCTTTTCATTCTTTCTTTGTAATATTACCTTATCCAATTTTCTCTCGTCCATTTCCCTTATCGTTTTTTTCTTTCTTTTTCTTTCTCAAATCAAATACTTTTTTCTTTCTATTCTATTTTTTTCCTCCATTAATCTCCTTTCTCCCATTGCATCGTCATATTTCCATCTCTCAAGAATTAACGATATTCTTATTTTTCTCTTGTTTCCTTCGACTCTGTGAATTCCGCTGCCAAATCAAATCCAGTTTAAAAATCGTATCTCTTATTTTGCTTCTCCGTCCTTGTCTTTTTTCTTTTTTTAAATTTAATCTACTTTTTCTCATTTTAAACCAAACCCGACATCGACTGGAAAAGGTGAACACCAGCAAGACACAACTCCGGGCTAAACACATGACGGAATCACTCTTTCCTTTTAAAATAATTTCTTCCCCATTTTTCATATTTGAAAAAGGTACAATTACCTGCCGGCTTTAAAGACAAGAACCACGAACACATTACCAAGGCATTTTTTAGAAAATATTAAACTCGGACGACGTAATGAAAGATCGCGTATCATTTTTTAAGTGCCTGGAGCTTTTCATTTACTATCTTTGTAGAAAAGAAATTATGCTTTTCAGGAGATCAGTTTTTGTTGGAAACTTTCTTGTCATTTCATATTAAATAAAAGCATAAATAGAAAAATATGTATGTATACCTGATTGTGTGCGTATATGTACAAATAGAGTGTGCGAGAGAGAAAGAGAAGATGATGTGATCTCAACCACTGTTGAAATGAAATTAATATAAGAGGAACTTTGGAATAAAGATTGGGTTGGCCCAAAATATTCGTTAACTTATTCTTGCGGTATTTTTCTTAATAAACCTAACAGGCAATTATACGATTTATTATTTTTTTTTCGTATAGAGTAAATTTTTTTTTTTTTACTTTATTGTGCCATAATTTTATGATTCGTTCCATTATTTTCTGACAATTTTCGCGCACATACTTACATCCTGAAAGAACTGCTCGAAACGCCTATTGCAGTCAGCCCAAGGGAAATAAATTGTTGTTTATATTCAAAGAATTGTGTAAAGCGTGGATTGAAATATATTTTTATTTATTTATTTCACATTCTTTTTACTAGTTTACTTCACATCTTTCTTCTTTCATTCTTTCTTTGTTTCATTCTTTCTTTTTTCTGCTTACTCATCTGACCTTCTGACCCACTTTCTTTCTTTCTTTCGTTTTTATTTATTTATATCTAGTTTTCTTCTCAACCTTCATTCTATTCTTTAACAATTTCTTTCTATCTTTCTTTCTTTCTTTCTAATTCTGCCTTGTCCATGTTTCTCATTCTCTTTTCTTTTTTTCGGATTTTCCTCATCCAGTTTTCTTCTCACCTTTGTTTCTATTCTTTCTTTCTTTCTTTATTTCTTTCTTTCTAATTCTGCCTTGTCCATGTTTCTCATTCTCTTTTCTTTTCTTCGGATTTTCCTCATCCAGTTTTCTTCTCACCTTTGTTTCTATTCTTTCTTTCTTTATTTATTTCTTTCTTTCTAATTCTGCCTTGTCCATGTTTCTCATTCCTTTTTCTTTTTTTCGGATTTTCCTCATCCAGTTTTCTTCTCACCTTTGTTTCTATTCTTTCTTTCTTTCTTTCTTTCTTTTCTAATTCTGCCTTGTTCATGTTTCTCATTCTCTTTTTTTTTTTTTCGGTTTTTCCTCATCCAGTTTTCTTCTCACCTTTGTTTCTATTCTTTCTTTCTTTATTTATTTCTTTCTTTCTAATTCTGCCTTGTTCATGTTTCTATTCTCTTTTTTTTTTTCAGATTTTCCTCATCCAGTTTTCTTTCTCACCTTTTGTTTCTATTCTTTCTTTCTTTATTTATTTCTTTTCTTTCTAATTCTGCCTTGTCCATGTTTCTCATTCCTTTTTTTTTTTTTTCGGATTTTCCTCATCCAGTTTTCTTCTCACCTTTGTTTCTATTCTTTCTTTTCTTTCTTTCTTTCTTTCTTTCTTTTCTAATTCTGCCTTGTCCATGTTTCTCATTCTCTTTTCTTTTTTTGGATTTTCCTCATCCAGTTTTTTCTCACCTTTTTTCTACCTTTGTTTCTTTTCTTTTTTCTTTCTTTCTTTCTTTCTTTCTAATTCTACCTTGTCCATGTTTCTCATTCTCTTTTCTTTTTTTCGGATTTTCCTCATCCAGATTTTTCTTCTCACCTTTGTTTCTATTCTTTTCTTTCTTTCTTTCTTTCTTTCTTTCTTTCTTTCTTTCTAATTCTGCCTTGTCCATGTTTCTCTCATTCTCTTTTCTTTTCTTGGATTTTCCTCATCAGTTTTCTTCTCACATTTGTTTCTATTCTTTCTTTTTTTTCTTTATTTCTTTCTTTCTTTTTCTTTCTTTCTTTCTTTCTAATTCTGCCTTGTCCATGTTTCTCATTCTCTTTTCTTTTTTTTTCGGATTTTCCTCATCCAGTTTTCTTCTCACCTTTGTTTCTGTTCTTTCTTTTCTTTCTTTTTTCTTTTTTTTCTTTCTAATTCTGCCTTGTCCATGTTTCTCATTCTCTTTTCTTTTTTTTCGGATTTTCCTCATCCAGTTTTCTTCTCACCTTTGTTTCTATTCTCTTTCTTTCTTTCTTTCTTTTTTTCTTTCTTTCTTTCTTTCTAATTCTGCCTTGTCCATGTTTTTTTCATTCTCTTTTCTTTTTTTCGGATTTTTCCTCATCCAGTTTCTTCTCACCTTTGTTTCTATTCTTTCTTTCTTTCTTCTTTCTTTCTTTCTAATTCTACCTTGTCCATGTTTCTCATTCTCTTTTTTTTTTTTCGGATTTTCCTCATCCAGTTTTCTTCTCACCTTTGTTTCTTCTTTCTTTCTTTCTTTTTTTTTCTTTTCTTTATTTCTTTCTTTCTAATTCTGCCTTGTCCATGTTTCTCATTCTCTTTTCTTTTTTTCGGATTTTCCTCATCCAGTTTTCTTCTCACATTTGTTTCTATTCTTTCTTTCTTTCTTTCTTTCTTTCTTTCTTTCTTTCTTTCTTTCTTTCTTTCTTTCTAATTCTGCCTTGTCCATGTTTCTCATTCTCTTTTCTTTTTTTCGGATTTTCCTCATCCAGTTTTCTTCTCACCTTTGTTTCTATTCTTTCTTTCTTTCTTTATTTCTTTCTTTCTTTCTAATTCTGCCTTGTCCATGTTTCTCATTCTCTTTTCTTTTTTTCGGATTTTCCTCATCCAGTTTTCTTCTCACCTTTGTTTCTATTCTTTCTTTCTTTTTTTTTTTTTTCTTTCTTTTTTCTTTCTAAATCTGCCTTGTCCATGTTTCTCATTTCTTTTTTTTTTTTCGGATTTTCCTCATCCAGTTTTTCTTCTCACCTTTGTTTCTATTCTTTCTTTCTTTTTTTTTTTTCTTTCTTTCTTTCTAATTCTGCCTTGTCCATGTTTCTCATTCTCTTTTTATTTTTTCGGATTTTCCTCATCCAGTTTTCTTCTCACCTTTGTTTCTTTTCTTTCTTTCTTTCTTTCTTTCTTTTTCTTTCTTTCTTTCTTTCTAATTCTGCCTTGTCCATGTTTTTCATTCTCTTTTCTTTTTTTTCGGATTTTTCCTCATCCAGTTTTCTTCACCTTTGTTTCTATTCTTTCTTTTCTTTTTTATTTCTTTCTTTTCTAATTCTGCCTTTCCATGTTTTTCATTCTCTTTTCTTTTTTTAGTTTTTTTCCAGTTTTCTTCTCACCTTTGTTTCTCTTTCTTTCTTTCTTTTTTCTTTTCTTTCTTTATTTCTTTCTTTCTTTCTAATTCTGCCCTTTCCATGTTTCTCATTTCTTTTTTTTTTTTCGGATTTTTCCTCATCCAGTTTTCTTCTCACCTACATTTGTTTTTCTTTCTTTCTTTCTTTTTTCTTTCTTTCTTTCTTTCTTTCTTGCCTTTCTTTCATTCTCTTTTTCTTTTTTTCGGATTTTTCTCAAGTTTTCTGCCTTTGTTTTTTTCTTTTCTTTCATTTTTTCTTTCTTTCCATTTTCTTTTTTCTAATTTTCTTGTCCATGTTTTCATTCTCTTTCTTTGCTCATCTTGTTTTCTTCTCACCTTTGTTTCTATTCTTTCTTTTCTTTCTTTTTTCTTTCTTTCTTTTTTCTAATTCTGCCTTGTCCATGTTTCTCATTCTCTTTTTTTTTTTTCGGATTTTCCTCATCCAGTTTTTTCTCACCTTTGTTTCTATTCTTTCTTTCTTTCTTTTCTTTCTTTCTTTCTTTTCTAATTCTGCCTTGTCCATGTTTCTCATTCTCTTTTTTTTTTTTCAGTTTTTCCTCATCCAGTTTTCTTCTCACCTTTGTTTTTTTTCTTTCTTTCTTTTCTTTTTTTTTCTTTATTTTCTTTCTTTCTAATTCTGCCTTGTCCATGTTTCTCATTCTCTTTTTCTTTTTTCGGATTTTCCTCATCCAGTTTTCTTCTCCCTTTGTTTCTATTCTTTTCTTTCTTTCTTTCTTTCTTTTCTTTCTTCTTTTCTAATTCTGCCTTGTCCATGTTTCTCATTTCTTTTTTTTTTTCGGATTTTTCCTCATCCAGTTTTTTTCTCACCATTTTTTCTTTCTTTCTTTCTTTCTTTTTTCTTTCTTTCTTTTTTCTTTCTTTCTTTCTTTCTAATTCTGCCTTGTCCATGTTTCTCATTCTCTTTTTTTTTTTTCGGATTTTCCTCATCCAGTTTTTTCTTCTCACCTTTTTTGTTTCTTTCTTTCTTTATTTCTTTTTCTTTCTTTCTTTTCTTTCTTTCTTTCTTTTAATTCTGCCTTGTCCATGTTTCTCATTCTCTTTTTTTTTTTTTTCGGATTTTCCTCATCCAGTTTTCTTCTCACATTTTTTTCTACTTTTTTCTTTCTTTTCTTTTTTCTTTCTTTCTTTCTTTTTTTTTTATTTCTCCCTAATTCTTGTCCATGTTTCTCATTCTCTTTTCTTTTTTTCGGTTTTTTCCTCATCCAGTTTTTTCTCACCTTTGTTTCAATTCTTTCTTTCTTTTTTCTTTCTTTCTTTCTTTTTCTTTCTTTCTTTCTTTTCTAATTCTGCCTTGTCCATGTTTCTCATTCTCTTTTCTTTTTTTCGGATTTTTCCTCATCCAGTTTCTTCTTCATTTGTTTCTATTCTTTCTTTCTTTCTTTATTTCTTTCTTTCTTTCTTTCTTTCTTTCTTTCTTTTTCTTTCTTTCTAATTCTGCCTTGTCCATGTTTTCTCATTTCTTTTCTTTTTCGGATTTTCCTCATCCAGTTTTCTTCTCACATTTGTTTCTATTCTTTCTTTTTCTTTCTTTATTTCTTTCTTTTTTCTTTCTTTTTTCTTTCTTTATTTCTGCCTTTTCTTTCCAATTCTTTCTCATTCTCTTTTTTTCTTTTTTTCGGATTTTCCTCATCAGTTTTCTTCTCATTTGTTTCTATTCTTTCTTTCTTTCTTTTTTTCTTTCTTTTTTTCTTTCTTTCTTTTTCTAATTCTGCCTTGTCCATGTTTCTCATTCTCTTTTCTTTTTTTCGGATTTTCCTCATCCAGTTTTTTTTTTCACTTTCTTTCTTTGTTTCTATTCTTTCTTTCTTTCTTTCTTTCTTTCTTTCTTTCTAATTCTGCCTTGTCCATGTTTCTCATTCTCTTTTCTTTTTTTCGGATTTTCCTCATCCAGTTTTCTTCTCACCTTTGTTTCTATTCTTTCTTTCTTTCTTTCTTTCTTTCTTTCTTTCTAATTCTGCCTTGTCCATGTTTCTCATTCTCTTTTCTTTTTTTCGGATTTTCCTCATCCAGTTTTCTTCTCACCTTTGTTTCTATTCTTTCTTTATTTCTTTCTTTCTTTTCTAATTTGCCTTGTCCATGTTTCTCATTTTTTTTTTTTTTTTTCGGATTTTCCTCATCCAGTTTTTTTCTCACCTTTGTTTCTATTCTTTCTTTCTTTTCTTTTCTTTTCTTTCTTTCTTTCTTTCTTTTTCATGTTTCTTTCTTTTCCTTTTCCATTTTTCATCAGTTTTCTTTCCTTTTTTTCTTTTTTTCTTTTTTCCTCTTTCTTTTTTTCTTTCTTCCTAATTGCCTTGTTTGTTTCTCATTCTCTTCCTTTTTTTCGGTTTTTCCTTCCAGTTTTCTTTTCACCTTTGTTTCTTTCTTTCTTTCTTTTTTAATTTTCTAATTCTGCCTTGTCCATGTTTCTCATTCTCTTTTTCTTTTTTCGGATTTTCCTCATCCAGTTTTTCTTCTCACCTTTGTTTCTATTCTTTCTTTCTTTCTTTTTTCTTTCTTTCTTTCTTTCTTTTCTAATTCTGCCTTGTCCATGTTTCTCATTCTCTTTTTTTTTTTTCGGATTTTCCTCATCCAGTTTTCTTCTCACCTTTGTTTCTATTCTTTTCTTTCTTTTCTTTCTTTCTTTCTTTCTTTCTTTCTTTCTAATTCTGCCTTGTCCATGTTTCTCATTCTCTTTTCTTTTTTTTCGGATTTTCCTCATCCATTTTTCTTCTCACCTTTGTTTCTATTTTTTTTCTTTCTTTCTTTTTTCTTTCTTTCTTTTTCTTTTCTTTTTTTTTTTCCAGTTTTCTTGCCTTTGTCCATATTTCTCTTTATTCCTTTTTTCTTTTTTCGGATTTTGCCTCATCCAGTTTTCTTCTCTTTTCTTTTTTGTTTCTATTCTTTCTTTCTTTCTTTGTTTTCTTTCTTTTCTTTTTTCTTTTATTTCTTTCTTTTCTAATTCTGCCTTGTCCATGTTTCTCATTCTCTTTTTTTTTTTTTTTCGGATTTTCCTCATCCAGTTTTTTTCTCACCTTTGTTTCTATTCTTTCTTTCTTTCTTTTTCTTTCTTTTCTTTCTTTCTTTCTTTCTAATTCTGCCTTGTCCATGTTTCTCATTCTCTTTTTTTTTTTTGGATTTTCCTCATCAGTTTTCTTCTCACCTTTGTTTCTTTCTTTCTTTCTTTCTTTTCTTTCTTTTCTTTCTTTCTAATTCTGCCTTGTCCATGTTTCTCATTCTCTTTTTTTTTTTTCGGATTTTCCTCATCCAGTTTCTTCTCACCTTTGTTTTCTATTCTTTCTTTCTTTTTTTTTCTTTCTTTCTTTCTTTCTTTCTAATTCTGCCTTGTCCATGTTTCTCATTCTCTTTTCTTTTTTTCGGATTTTCCTCATCCAGTTTTCTTCTCACCTTTGTTTCTATTCTTTCTTTCTTTCTTTCTTTCTTTCTTTCTAATTCTGCCTTGTCCATGTTTCTCATTCTCTTTTCTTTTTTTCGGATTTTCCTCATCCAGTTTTCTTCTCACCTTTGTTTCTATTCTTTCTTTCTTTCTTTCTTTCTTTCTTTCTTTCTTTCTAATTCTGCCTTGTCCATGTTTCTCATTCTCTTTTCTTTTTTTTGGTTTTCCTCATCCAGTTTCTTCTCACCTTTGTTTCTTTTCTTTCTTCTTTCTTTCTTTCTTTCTTTCTTTCTTTTTTAATTCTGCCTTGTCCATGTTTCTCATTCTCTTTTTCTTTTTTTTCGGATTTTCCTCATCCAGTTTTTCTTCTCACCTTTGTTTCTATTCTTCTTTTCTTTTTTTTTCTTTCTAATTTGCCTTTTCATTTTCTTTCTTTTCTTTTTTTCTAATTTTCCTCATTTTTGTTTCATTTTCTTTCTTTTTTCTTTTTTTTTTTTTCTAATTTTCCTCATCCAGTTTTCTTTCTCATCACCTTTTTTTCTCATTTTTTTATTTTTTTTTTTCTTTCTTTCTTTCTTTCTTTCTTTCTTTCTTTCTTTTTTTTTTTTTCTAATTCTGCCTTGTCCATCTTTCTCATTCTCTTTTCTTTTTTTCGGATTTTCCTCATCCAGTTTTCTTCTCACCTTTTTTTTTTATTCTTTTTTTTCTTTTTTCTTTCTTTTTTCTTTTCTTTCTAATTCTGCCTTGTCCATGTTTCTCATTTCTTTTTCTTTTTTTCGGATTTTTTTTTCATCCAGTTTTCTTCTCACCTTTGTTTCTATTCTTTATTTTCTTTCTTTTTCTTTTCTTTCTTTTTTTTTTCTTTCTTTTTTTCTCATTTCTGCCTTTTCCAGATTTTTCTTTTTTTCTCTTTTCCTTTTTTTCAGATTTTCTTTTTTAGTTTTCTTCTTTTATTTTTTTGTTTCTAATTTCTTTCTTTCTTTTTTTTTTTTTCTTTTTCTTTCTTTCCTATTCTTTCTTTCTTTCTAATTCTGCCTTGTCCATGTTTCTCATTCTCTTTTCTTTTTTTCGGATTTTCCTCATCCAGTTTTCTTCTCACCTTTGTTTCTATTCTTTCTTTCTTTCTTTCTTTCTTTCTTTCTTTCTTTCTTTCTTTCTAATTCTGCCTTGTCCATGTTTCTCATTCTCTTTTCTTTTTTTCAGATTTTCCTCATCCAGTTTTCTTCTCACCTTTGTTTCTATTCTTTCTTTCTTTCTTTCTTTTTTTTTTTTCTTTCTTTCTTTCTAATTCTGCCTTGTCCATGTTTCTCATTCTCTTTTTTTTTTCAGATTTTCCTCATCCAGTTTTCTTCTCACCTTTGTTTCTATTCTTTCTTTCTTTTCTTTTTTCTTTCTTTCTTTCTTTTCTAATTCTGCCTTGTCCATGTTTTCTCATTCTCTTTTTTTTTTTCAGATTTTCCTCATCCATTTTTTCTTTGTTTCATTCTTTTTTTTTCTTTCTTTTCTTTCTTTTTTCTTTTCTTTCTTTCTAATTCTGCCTTGTCCATGTTTCTCATTCTCTTTTCTTTTTTTCGGATTTTCCTCATCCAGTTTTCTTCTCACCTTTGTTTCTATTCTTTCTTTCTTTATTTATTTCTTTCTTTCTAATTCTGCCTTGTCCATGTTTCTCATTCTCTTTTCTTTTTTCGGTTTTTTTCCTCATCCATTTTCTTCTCACCTTTGTTTCTATTCTTTCTTTCTTTTTTTATTTTTCTTTCTAATTCTGCCTTGTCCATGTTTCTCATTTCTTTTCTTTTTTCGGATTTTCCTCATCCATTTTTCTTCTCACCTTTGTTTCTTTTATTCTTTCTTTCTTTCTTTATTTCTTTCTTTCTAATTCTGCCTTGTCCATGTTTCTCATTCTCTTTTTTTTTTCCAGATTTTCCTCATCAGTTTTCTTCTCACCTTTGTTTCTTTTTTTCTTTCTTTCTTTCTTTTTTCTTTCTTTCTTTCTTTCTAATTCTGCCTTGTCCATGTTTCTCATTCTCTTTTTTTTTTTCAGATTTTCCTCATCCAGTTTTCTTCTCACCTTTGTTTCTATTCTTCTTTCTTTCTTTTCTTTCTTTCTTTCTTTCTAATTCTGCCTTGTCCATGTTTCTCATTCTCTTTTCTTTTTTTGGATTTTCCTCATCCAGTTTTCTTCTCATTTTTGTTTCTATTCTTTTCTTTTTTCTTTCTTTCTTTTCTTTTTTTCTGCCTTGTCCATGTTTTTCATTTTCTTTTCTTTTTTTTATTTTTTTCATCCCTTTTCCATGTTTATTTTTTCTTTCTTTCTAATTCTTTCTCTTTTCTTTTCTCATTCTCTTTTCTTTTTTCAGATTTTCCTCATCCAGTTTCTTCTCACCTTTGTTTTTTATTCTTTCTTTTCTTTCTTTTTTTTTTTCTTTCTTTCTTTCTTTCTAATTCTGCCTTGTCCATGTTTCTCATTCTCTTTTTTTTTTCAGATTTTCCTCATCCAGTTTTCTTCTCACCTTTGTTTCTATTCTTTCTTTCTTTTCTTTTTCTTTCTTTCTTTCTAATTCTGCCTTGTCCATGTTTCTCATTCTCTTTTTTTTTTTCGGATTTTCCTCATCCAGTTTTCTTCTCACCTTTGTTTTATTCTTTCTTTCTTTTTTTTTTTTTCTTTCTTTCTTTCTTTCTAATTCTGCCTTGTCCATGTTTCTCATTCTCTTTTCTTTTTTTTTTTTTCAGATTTTCCTCATCCAGTTTTCTTCTCACCTTTGTTTCTATTCTTCTTTCTTTCTTTCTTTCTTTCTTTCTTTCTTTCTAATTCTGCCTTGTCCATGTTTCTCATTCTCTTTTCTTTTTTTCAGATTTTCCTCATCCAGTTTTCTTCTCACCTTTGTTTCTATTCTTTCTTTCTTTCTTTCTTTCTTTTTTCTTTCTTTCTTTCTTTCTAATTCTGCCTGGTCCATGTTTCTCATTCTCTTTTCTTTTTTTCGGATTTTCCTCATCCAGTTTTCTTCTCACCTTTGTTTCTATTCTTTCTTTCTTTCTTTCTTTCTTTCTTTCTTTCTAATTCTGCCTTGTCCATGTTTCTCATTTCTTTTTTTTTTTTTCAGATTTTCCTCATCCAGTTTTCTTCTCACCTTTGTTTCTATTCTTTCTTTTTTCTTTCTTTCTTTCTTTTTCTTTCTTTCTTTCTTTCTAATTCTGCCTTGTCCATTTCTCATTCTCTTTTCTTTTTTTCAGATTTTCCTCATCCAGTTTTTTCTTCTCACCTTTGTTTCTTTCTTTTCTTTCTTTCTTTCTTTTTTTTTTTTTCTTTCTTTTTTTCTAATTCTGCCTTGTCCATGTTTCTCATTCTCTTTTCTTTTTTCGGATTTTCCTCATCCAGTTTTCTTCTCACCTTTGTTTCTATTCTTTCTTTTCTTTCTTTCTTTCTTTCTTTCTAATTCTGCCTTGTCCATGTTTCTCATTCTCTTTTTTTTTTTTCAGATTTTCCTCATCCAGTTTTCTTTCTTTGTTTTTGTTTCTTTCTTTCTTTTCTTTCTTTCTTTCTAATTTTCTTTTTTTTTCTTTTCTTTTCTTTTTTTCTAATTTGCCTTGTCCATGTTTCTATTCATTCTTTCTTTTTCTTTTTTTTTCAGATTTTCCTCATCCAGTTTTCTTCTCACCTTTGTTTCTATTCTTTCACCTTTTTTCTTTCTTTCTTTTTTTTCTTTCTTTCTTTCTTTCTAATTCTGCCTTGTCCATGTTTCTCATTCTCTTTTCTTTTTTTCAGATTTTCCTCATCCAGTTTTCTTCTCACCTTTGTTTCTATTCTTTCTTTCTTTCTTTCTTTCTTTCTTTCTAATTCTGCCTTGTCCATGTTTCTCATTCTCTTTTCTTTTTTTCGGATTTTCCTCATCCAGTTTTCTTCTCACCTTTGTTTCTATTCTTTCTTTCTTTATTTATTTCTTTCTTTCTAATTCTGCCTTGTCCATGTTTCTCATTCTCTTTTCTTTTTTTCGGATTTTCCTCATCCAGTTTTCTTCTCACCTTTGTTTCTATTCTTTCTTTCTTTCTTTCTTTCTTTCTTTCTTTTCTTTCTTTCTTTCTTTCTTTCTAATTCTGCCTTGTCCATGTTTCTCATTCTCTTTTCTTTTTTCAGATTTTCCTCATCCAGTTTTCTTCTCACCTTTGTTTCTATTCTTTCTTTCTTTCTTTCTTTTCTTTTTTCTTTCTTTTCTTTTTCTAATTCTGCCTGGTCCATGTTTCTCATTCTCTTTTTTTTTTTTTCAGTTTTTCCTCATCCAGTTTTTCTTCTCACCTTTGTTTCTATTCTTTCTTTCTTTCTTTTTTTCTTTCTTTCTTTTCTTTTCTAATTCTGCCTTGTCCATGTTTCTCATTCTCTTTTCTTTTTTCAGATTTTCCTCATCCAGTTTTCTTCTCACCTTTGTTTCTATTCTTTCTTTCTTTCTTTCTTTCTTTCTTTTTTCTTTCTTTCTTTCTTTCTAATTCTGCCTTGTCCATGTTTCTCATTCTCTTTTCTTTTTTTCAGATTTTCCTCATCCAGTTTTCTTCTCACCTTTGTTTCTATTCTTTCTTTCTTTCTTTCTTTCTTTCTTTCTTTCTTTCTTTCTAATTCTGCCTTGTCCATGTTTCTCATTCTCTTTTCTTTTTTTCGGATTTTCCTCATCCAGTTTTCTTCTCACCTTTGTTTCTATTCTTTCTTTCTTTCTTTCTTTATTTCTTTCTTTCTAATTCTGCCTTGTCCATGTTTCTCATTCTCTTTTCTTTTCTTCGGATTTTCCTCATCCAGTTTTCTTCTCACCTTTGTTTCTATTCTTTATTCTTTCTTTCTTTCTTTCTTTCTTTCTTTCTTTCTAATTCTGCCTTGTCCATGTTTCTCATTCTCTTTTCTTTTTTTCAGATTTTCCTCATCCAGTTTTCTTCTCACCTTTGTTTCTATTCTTTCTTTCTTTCTTTCTTTCTTTTTTCTTTCTTTCTTTCTTTCTAATTCTGCCTTGTCCATGTTTCTCATTCTCTTTTCTTTTTTTCAGATTTTCCTCATCCATTTTTTCTTCTCACCTTTGTTTCTATTCTTTCTTTCTTTTATTTATTTCTTTTTTTTCTAATTCTGCCTTGTCCTTTTCTTTTTCTTTTTTTGGATTTTCCTCTCCAGTTTTCTTCTCACCTTTGTTTCTATTCTTTCTTTCTTTTCTTTTATTTCTTTCTTTCTAATTCTGCCTTGTCCATGTTTCTCATTCTCTTTTCTTTTTTTTCAGATTTTTTTCCTCATCCAGTTTTCTTCTCACCTTTGTTTCTATTCTTTCTTTCTTTTTCTTTTTTCTTTCTTTTTTTTTCTTTCTAATTCTGCCTTGTCCATGTTTCTCATTCTCTTTTCTTTTTTCAGATTTTCCTCATCCAGTTTTCTTCTCACCTTTGTTTCTATTCTTTCTTTCTTTCTTTCTTTCTTTTTTCTTTCTTTCTTTCTTTCTAATTCTGCCTTGTCCATGTTTCTCATTCTCTTTTCTTTTTTCAGATTTTCCTCATCCATCCACCTTTGTTTCTATTCTTTCTTTCTTTCTTTCTTTTTTTCTTTCTTTCTTTCTAATTCTGCCTTGTCCATGTTTCTCATTCTCTTTTTTTTTTTTTTTTCCTCATCAGTTTTCTTCTCACCTTTGTTTCTTTCTTTCTTTCTTTTTTTTTTTTCTTTCTTTTTTTCTTTTCTAATTCTGCCTTGTCCATGTTTCTCATTCTCTTTTCTTTTTTCAGATTTTCCTCATCCAGTTTTCTTCTCACCTTTGTTTCTATTCTTTCTTTCTTTCTTTCTTTCTTTTTTTTCTTTTCTAATTCTGCCTTGTCCATGTTTCTCATTCTCTTTTCTTTTTTTCGGATTTTCCTCATCCAGTTTTCTTCTCACCTTTGTTTCTATTCTTTCTTTCTTTATTTATTTCTTTCTTTCTAATTCTGCCTTGTCCATGTTTCTCATTCTCTTTTCTTTTTTTCGGATTTTCCTCATCCAGTTTTCTTCTCACCTTTGTTTCTATTCTTTCTTTCTTTCTTTATTTCTTTCTTTCTAATTCTGCCTTGTCCATGTTTCTCATTCTTTTTTTTTTTTTTTCGGATTTTCCTCATCCAGTTTTCTTCTCACCTTTGTTTCTATTCTTTCTTTCTTTCTTTTTTTTTTTTCTTTCTTTCTTTCTTTTTTTTTTCTAATTCTGCCTTGTCCATGTTTCTCATTCTCTTTTTTTTTTTTCAGATTTTCCTCATCCAGTTTTTCTTCTCACCTTTGTTTCTTTCTTTCTTTTTTCTTTCTTTCTTTCTTTCTTTCTTTCTTTCTAATTCTGCCTTGTCCATGTTTCTCATTCTCTTTTCTTTTTCAGTTTTTTCCTCATCCAGTTTTCTTCTCACCTTTGTTTCTATTTTTTTCTTTCTTTCTTTCTTTCTTTCTTTCTTTCTTTCTTTCTAATTCTGCCTTGTCCATATTTCTCATTCTCTTTTCTTTTTTGAATTTTCCTCGTCAGTTTTTTCTTCTCACCTTTGTTTCTATTCTTTTTCTTTCTTTTTTTTCTTTCTTTCTTTCTTTCTTTCTTTCTTTCTAATTCTGCCTTGTCCATGTTTCTCATTCTCTTTTCTATTTTTCGGATTTTCCCCATACAGTTTTCTTCTCACCTTTGTTTCTATTCTTTCTTTCTTTCTTTCTTTCTTTCTTTCTTTCTTTCTTTCGCAGGGATTGAAATAGAATCTGACTTTGACTCGGACGGTTGTGTAAAATTGCTGTTGCTCCTCCATTTATTTTACACGCTGACAAATATTTAAAATTCACTATTTCCAATTGATATACATAAATATTTTAGACAGAAATCAATAATTATTAATTGTAAGTGATGTATGTGCTAGGATGAGAGAAATTATTAAACAAGAACATGAATATATTACACTTGGTCCATTATATTGGTATTATGATGAGAGGGTCGATCACTATCGTCGAAATAGCTAGCTAAGTTTTTTATATAACCTACAGCAACCAGTTGTCCTCTAAAATCACTCATAAAAACTATTCACGTTATAGGCTAGAAAATGGGTAGAGTACATTTACTGCTCTGATAGAATATAGATTTGATTTGATTTGTTTGTTTAACGGCATATCGACACCTTATGTGTCATTTAATGCCAAACGTTTCCTTGGGAGCTTTGATGTAATAAAAATATGATATATGTTATTCTGCTTTCACAATTGAATACATGGTACTTGATACTCAGCTTTCATGCATGTACATGTTTGTGTGGACATAATTACAAGAGGCGGTGATATGTGTGTTTTATTTTGTACTTTTTTTGAAGTTATATGTAGGAAAACAAATTGATTTCTTTAAGAAATTATAGGGTATTTATAGATTAATGTCATGAGGGGCACCTCGGCGTGGTGTAATGGTTAGCAAGCTTGTCTCGCTAGATCAGTTACAAAGTGAAAAGTGAGTTCGATCCTCACTAGGTGTTCCATACTTTCGGCCTTGTGCAACATCTAAGCTACACTTAGAAAATAACTAGATAAATGTCATGAGAGAGTTCTTTCATGTTGATTGCTGTATTGTTGGTAAGATTGCTATAAATTGCTTTCTTTGTTTGGGGGCTTACTATTGCCCTCTAGCTAGGACCTTAAAAGATGCTACTACCCCGAGCCAGGGTTGACCTGAGGACAAGGGCGATTAAGAGGTGGTTCCACGCACCTCACAACCTCTACTCTCTCGATCAGAGGCCTTGCTGCCGGATGCAGTTTATCGTCATGCACTTGACGGGATACGGAAGAAATTAGAAACGCTTTCTAGATGTTTCGTTTTTTATTAAAGTTCTATCAAAAAATGAGGTAAGGAGAATTAAAGAAATCCTTGTATTTTGATGTTTGTCTTCTTTGATTTTCATTGGTGAAGCAGGCTTTACGTGCATTTCATTATCATCTGAATCGCCCCCCCCTAGGAAAACTAGAATTATGATACACTTACATACATAAAAAAGCAATGTTTACGCTTTTATAATTAGGCTTGGAATCTGTTATATTTGAAGGTTGGAAGGTCCATCTCACTTTGAGTTCAGAACGCCATAACTTATACAGTAGAATACCTCTATTAGGCAAACTAGTTTACCGCGGGTGGGTGTTGGATACCAAGACATTGCTCTAGTACTCTCAATATCGCTTAGTTTTTTTTTTGTTTAGAAATTCCACCCTATTTTATCAATTTCTAGGTAATCTCCTTCACGATAGGCAGAACAAACAGCGATCATCAGATGGGTCCTAATTTGTTTTAATAATTACACCCCTTTTTCACACGTTTTACCTTGATTGTGATGATCAAACAGCCCAAATCCTGCGAAATTTTAACACCTCGGCCGTTTCACACCTAATCCAATTGTATTAGTAATAATTACACATTATTAATTTATGTTTATATATCGCGCGTGATCAAATAGTTCCTATAAAATCGGACTAATTAACATGAATTCAATCACTGCAATCAGATACCACGGATGGGGTAATAAATAGGAGTAATTTTTTCTGGTTGATCATGTTCAATTTGACTGTCCAGCAGTAGACATCAAGAATCCCTCATAAATAAACAAATATAAATAATGCGTAGTAATCAGGGGTCGCAATCAGGAAATACTGGGAATAAATTTTCCGTATAGTTATATTTACGTGTAAATCTACATGATTAATTCGAAAATATCAAATAAATTTTGATAAAATCAACGTCTTTGGAGTTATCGACATTTTATTATCGATAACTCATTGTTCGGACTCATTCGCGTCGCGGCCGCCATTACTCGCGTTGTTCACATATATTTGCTGCGGGATAGACATTTACTTGTTTCGATTATTACGCACTCACCGATGCAAACAACGCCAATAACGTCTGCTGTGAAGCAACCGACCCCAACACATATGAGTCTGAACTTTTATTATCGATAACTCCAAAACGGTAGATTTTATAAATAACTATTTTTTATTATTTTTGAATTAGGAATGTAAATTTAGAATAAAAAATAACTGTTCGGGCAATTTTTATTACATACTTAGCGCGGGGTCTCAAGGATCGTAGTATAGCGGCGGACTACTGTGCTAACACTATTTACAAGTCAGATGCAAGCGAATCCTGGTTAACCAATGAAAATCAAGCAACGCAAAAATAAAAATAAAGAATTTCTTTCTTCTATTTAACCATATCTTATTCTCTGATGAAGCTGTAATAAAATCGAAGCATAAACGTATAAACGTTTGCTATTTGTGTTACATCCTATCATTCTGTCGTATTCCGTACCACATCTGATCTATATTTGATCAAGTTCATTTCTTGCTCCCTAGGAGCGGTCTAGGGGGTACTAAAAGGCCATCAAGACCGCAGCTGTTTTTTAATGAAATTCTGAACTGATCAAAATATTAAATATAATTTCTTGTCCTCATTCTATCATCAGTGTCATTAATTTCTTAAATATGTCGGAAATCTTGTGAAATGTTAAGTTCTAAAACGTTTATCTAAATTTTTAAGTCGCATTCAGAAAATATCTACAAAAGAAATGCAAAGTGGAATTAAAATCAAATTAAAGATATTTACACTGGGAATATATATTGTAAAATATTCCTTTAATGTAAATGTCAGATAAAATAATTCCTCAATCCGAGCCGCTATCCATTACTCCACCGTGCCTCCTAATATATATATATATATATATATATATATATATATATAATTATTTTTTATAAAAAAATTATAACATAAGTATGTTATAAAATCACTACAAAAATAGCCATTTTGTTTCAACACACTCTGTGTCTTATCAAGTGATGATGTTGAAAATAAAATAAATGGTTTTAAAAGTTTCAGATTAATTAACGATCCTACACTAGGGGAAACATTGTTACAAAGCTAGAATAACCAATCAAAAAACGAAGTATAGAAAGATTCAAAAGCTTGACAACGAAATCATGTTATAATAGCTATTCAGATCTTTAAATACGTGTAATATTAAAAATAATTTATACTAACCAATAATTATAAAATTATATGATAAAATTTAATATTAAAATTAAAAACTGGCAATTTTAAAATCAAGTTTAATCACTATTAAGTTTAAAACTACAAAATTATTGAAAAAAAAAATATATATGTTTATTCAATTCATTTCTTCATTGAAATTACGTTCGACAAGACGCTACAATATATCCGGTCATTTGACAATACATGTATATATATTTTTTTCCTTTTCCCTTTCTTTTCCGTTTTTATTTCAAAGTGTGTGAATGTGGTCTTAAACTCACGCGCAAAACAACAAAAACACAATCAGATTATAATACATAAGCACCCAGACATAATTAGATACACACACACACACACACACACACACACACACACACACACACTAAAAAAAGGGGGGTCGAGACATGAACATCTCTACAGCCCTTTATGAAAAAAGGAGACGTGAAAACTAACACTTACACACACACACACACACAGTTAAATGTGAATACACTCTACATACACATAGACACCGATAGATACACATACATACATCCACAGACAATGACATAGACAATCAGATATCACAACCAATAAATATTTCAGACTTAAATAAATGCTAATCACTTATTAAATATATATATGTATATACATATGTATGTATGTATATAAACACAAATGTAACAACATAGAATTAATATATAACCTCATACAATAAGCCCTACCCTCATTTATCAGCTACACGACAGACAGGCTTGTAGAGATGTTATACACACACTCAAAGATATATACACATTACATACACTTGCCATTCCCATCATCCAATAAAACTGTCAAAATGACCAAGGACGGAATTCTTAGTCGGGAATCTGCCATCCTCTATCTTAAAAACAACTTAAAAGAGGCCGTTTGAACAACACAAGGACTGACCAAAATTAACGAATAAAAAAACTACCGATAAAGTTCATTTTCTTCAGAAAGTCATTCACTCCTGTAGTTCCCTGCTACTAACAAGCAAGGATTGTTTTGATCCTGATGATGGCCATGCTGTCCGAAAGTAGTCGAGAAACCTAATTGAATTATTTAATGAAACATACATTAAATAATAAAGACAAGTTTTGTCTATTTTAAGAAAGTTCCTTTCATATTGTCTGATAAGCTTAATAATATTATCATTGAAAGACGAAAGGAAATCACCATATTGATACATCTTTAAATCTAATCTAAGCTTTCGGCTTACATAAGCCATTATCAAAAATGACAATGACTTTTCAATATATCAACCAACATAGTTTACAAATTCAAGTGTCTTTAGGGAGATTGTATCTACAATGGATTAAATAATATTTATGTTGGTCACACCACAAACTCGCTTTCACGACACTTGACTATACATTTGAAAGAGAACTCTAACATTTTTAGGCATTTAAAACAACATGCCTGGCCTTGTACACAATTCCGGAAAATCCTTGTTGAAAGCACAACTATACTTAAACATGAAAACAATAAGGGAAAACTAAAAATTCTTGAAGCTATATACATAAGACCGTTGAAACCTAACCTGAACAAAATAAACTACGAAATCTCCA